AGGGCAGGATTCGCTCTCCAACCCCTAAGGCCCCTGCCCCGCCCCCTCGGCCACTGGGTCTCGGTAGCCTCGGGAGGCTGAGCAGAGGCCCGAGGGCTTGGAGTCCTGGGCGCCCCAGTCTCCTAGGGCCTGGGGGAGGGGCGCCAGGAAAAGTCCATCTTGGTGGCCTGGGTCTGGGGAAAAGGCTGCACCGTCCGCTGGCAGATGCGTCCTTGACCAGGAACCGAAGCCAAGCGTCTCCCCGAAAGCGCCAGGGAGGAGAAGAACCCCCAGGGCGCCAGCCGCCGGCGTCCCCGCGCAGCCAGACGCCTGGGTCTAGCCCCTCGCACGCATACACGTGTGATCTCCACGCGGAGCTCGAGAACTTTCCCCGCATGCCCGCGGGGCGCTCGCCCCTCGCACACCCGTCGTCGCATCCCTTTGAGACCCCTTCCCCAGTGTCTCCCGTCCCCGGCGCGGGCAGAAGGCTGCCGAGCCCGGCCGGCACGCCTGCCGGAACCGCGCGGAACAGGTCAGGCGAGGACTGGCACCCTACCCTGGCCGGAGCGCCCCGAGACCGCCCGGGCCAGGGCTCAGCGCCAGGCTCGCGGCCCCAGCCTGGCAGCCGGCTGGGTTGTAGGTAGCTCTCCCGAAGCAGCCGGCAGTCCCCGCTCCCGAGGCTCCGGGTGGGGTCCCCTTCCCCCAGCCGGGAAGGGGACGATTGATCCATCTGTCGATGGGCCGGGTTTACCGGCTTGTTTTAGTCACGGAATTTACAACAAACGTGCAGAAACACCGAAAAGGAAGCGTCTGGCTGGGAAAGGGCTGAAGGAGATGTGATGTTGCAGACACGTTCCGGCAAGAAGGGCGAGGCGGCGGGGCACACACCCACGCATGCCGGACACCCCAATTGCACGCTGCCCCCGGGTACATCCTTAGCCACGTTAGCGCTGCCCGCATCCCGCGGCCCCGGCGCCCGCATTCCTTCGTGCAGCGCCGCGCGCGCCCGGCGTGCTGTGCTGGGGCGCGCGCAGTGCCTCGTAAACTTTCCGCCCTACCCAAAATCCGATCTGAGCTCCATCCAAGGTGTAGTTGGGGGTGCCTTTTAAGATGCATTTTTTAAAAGAACAAGACTCTAGCAAAGAGTAAGTGCTAGAAATCGACCGGGGCGTGAAGGGAGGGGTCACTCACAGCACCAGCAGCCTTCGCTAGCGGGCAAGCTAGAGGGAGCAACTTCCATCTTGCGGATTTCGGCGGGAACGCGGCTTCTCCAGCCTTGGAAGAGGCGAGAGCCGGTCTCCTCCCAACGCCTCTTCTCATTTGGCGCATACTGGGGCGTTGGCCCTCGCCGTACTCTGTCCCTGGCCACTGAATGGTGTCCGCTGAAGGCGCGGCCCCAGCCTGTTAGTGTTGGACCTGGGCCAAGAGGGCTTGGGAAGTGGAGCTGGGGAGAGCCCCCTCCGGGCTGCCCTCCTGTCATTCCTCTCCTGTGCTAGGAAATGAGTTTACTTCTGACAAGGTCTCCTGGCTTCTTCCCAAACATTAGGCGACTTAAGGAACCGGAACCGGCTTCAGAAAATAAAGGAAAGTGTTGGTTAAAGGATTGGAACCCGACAGGATAGTCTGCTGAATAGTCTTTGACCAGAGGCTGGGAGCCTGTCCTATATACACACTTTCTCCCTCCCCTCCCCTACTTCTGAGACCTTCCGGTGGCCCAGATGTCCCCCACATTTTGTATCCCGGGCAGCTCTTCTCTCTTCTAAGTGCCCTACTCTCCAAAGTCCAAAATTACTGCTCAGCACATCCCTCTCCCACCTCCAAAAATGTTTTTAGATGTCTTTTAACCCTCTGGGCATAAGGAGGAAAACCCTCTGTAACATATGGGAGCTTTGCCCTGTTCCCACCCCTTTCCAGTGAAGGAGCTGAGAAAGCAGCAGGGGACTCAGAGGGGTGGCTCCCACTAATTTCTCCTGGTGGGCTGGTGGGGAGAATCTCAAAGAGGGAAGTGACTAGCTGAGGCCTTTCAGGGGTTCCAGGTCACCCAGCCTTCACAATAACAGTGGATAACACCAACCAGACCAACATTCATCTTGTTGTGGCTCTGGGGCACTCTGACCTTGGGCCCTCTCCTCCTGTCTACACAAGCCTCTCCCTCTGTACTCTCCTCTACCAACCCCATCCCTGAACCTGAGCTGCCCTTAGATATGGCAGAGTCCAAGTGTCACATCAATATTTTCTGATCATTTGCTATGTGTAAGCCCCCCACCCCCCACCCATGCCAGGATCTGCAAACTCAGATGAACACCTACGAGTTATAGGCAACTTAATCTCACTGAACCTCATTTGTNACCCATGCCAGGATCTGCAAACTCAGACGAACACCTATGAGTTATAGGCAACTTAATCTCGCTGAACCTCATTTGTCTCAGCTATAAAATGGGGATTTTAGAAAAGCCCATCCTTGCAGAGGTTAGGTGTGATACTATACACAGCAGCTAGTCAAACACCTGGTTCACAGATAGCTGCTCATAAAATGTCACCTCTTTCTCCTGAATTCAGAAGAACTGGGAACCCATGACAAGGCATAAAACCTAAGTGACAATGGAGAAGCAGAGAGAAAAAGCTATGGGGGTTCAAGGGAAATAGAGACTACTTGGTAGAAAATCAAGCCTAAGAGATCTTGCAAGAGCCAGTCACGGGAGGAAGGAGGGTCAGCAGGTGTGAACAAAAGCGCTAGGTTCCCTGATACACTTTCACAGGCCCTCAGGTACTGCTTCCTTCAGACCACCTTCAAGGGCCCATCCCAGCTGTTCCTGAGCTCACCAGCAGGCGAGCCTCCTGTCCACCCGAGACAGCCCTTCCCCATCACAGGCCCAGGAGTGGTCACGTGCAGGAGCAAAAGAGGACATGCAGGCCTTCAGCTTCTTTCCTTCCCCTCATCTCTCTAGGCCTGCCTACCCATCTTGTGGGGTGGATTCTCTGGAGGGCAAGAGCGGTAGAGAAGCAGAGAGAGGGAAGATGGACTCGTCGAAGGGGAGAGGGTTGCAGCCTTACCCCAGTGTACACACTCACACGCATGCACGCATTAGCGCACAGCTCACCAACCAGACTTGTGCTGCTCCCAGCAAAATCTCATCCCTTCCCTTCCTTTGGTGGAGGGAGGAAGGCTGAGGGTTCTGTTGTCCCAGAGATTAAATAATAATAAAAATAAATCAGGAATAGAAAGAACAAGGTGCCAACCAAGACGTGTCAGGATCCATGGGCCTGGCAAGCGGTGCCATGAGACAGCAGCTGGCCCAGGCCTTCCCACAATCAACCAACCAACACAAATTCATTGATCCCTTCTCTGTCCCCAGCACAGTACCAGGGCTGTGGGGAATATGCCCTCGGCAGGCCTGCCCCTGCCCCGGAAGCATGTACAGATAGAGTCAGGCCAGGTCCCCGTGAAGAGAGGAAGCAACAGCTGGGCACACTGGGTGAGTGAGAGGAAGAGTTAGCACCACTGGTTTCAGGAGGACTTGCAGGAGAGGCAGGATCCAAGCTGGGCCGGGAAGGATGGTAGAATGTGGCTGAACGCAGAGGAGGGCAGTCTGGGAAGGAGGCAGCACAGGCAAATGCACAGAGCTAAGAGAGGTTTGAGGAACAGCCAAGAGTTGGGCAGAGCCCCAGCCAGTTTAGCTCAGTCGTTAGAGAGCTGGCTCGCAGACGGAAGGGTCCCGGGTTGGATTCTGGTCATGGGCACGTACCTTGGTTGCGTGTAGGAGGCAACCAATCGATGTTTCTCTCTTTCTCTCTCTCCCTTC